AATCCTGGTCACTCTTAAAAGTTAATCTCAAATGTGACCTACTCCTGAAAGAATCCTTTCCTTCTCAAATTTTCCTAGAGCATTTTGGATCTCTCATTAACCCCCATTAAAATGCACTTTGTATTATACATTTCTATGAACATTATTGTCTCCTAGGACAACATAAGCTCCCTAAGATCAGGAAATGCCATCTTAAAATCTTTATAACTCTGTAGCATATGCCAAAGGGCACCTAAAATAGTAGATGCTTAATAAAAGATTATTGAATTGAATTATAAACAAAAAAAGACCTAATATCTACAATGTCTCAACAAAAGCTTTCTTGTAATATAAAATACGTTCCCACTCTTTTGTTACTTGTAATTAATTGTACCCAAATATTTATTCTAAGCACAGTATCCATAAGAATTCTTTTTCTCTTTCTCACACCTCATATTGTCCTCACTTATTTTACCAGAAATTAATCCATCTGCACTAAAGTCCTATATTTCCCAGGCACTACTATGTTTTATCATTTCAAAAATAACACATTTATCTGATAATATAATTTTCAAAGCCTTCCTGTGCTAAAACTGGATACATTATCACAAGCTATCTTACCTTTCCTTAGTGTCAGAAGAGCAAAAGTCCAGCTCAAAGTTAAACCTATTATTATGAATATTGATAGCTTCATCATTTATCTTTTATACTCAGTATAATACTGTAGCTACCAAGTCTTCATGGTTCACATAGAATAGCTTTGCTTAATAAAATTTTGGTCATCCTTCATCACCTCACCCCCAAAGAACTCCATCTTATCCACAGATACTCTTAGTAAATCATATGATTTGCAGGAAACATTTGAGTCAACTTTTGGAAAGGAAGGCCTCTATGAAGTCCTGAGGTCATTGTGCAGCTGCACAATATGTGAACAAAGTATAACTTTTAAACTCAAAGCTTCTCCCTGCCACTTAATATCTCCTTGTTATACTTTCTTTAGGGTGTTATATAATTTATATGAACCTTGTTAATGCTTCAGCGCTTTGAATCAGTTAGTATCCACTGTACAGGAATATTAAAAAAATATGACAGTCTGTCATCATATTTTTCACAATCTAGTTGGGAAAACGAGGCATAAATGAATGAAATAATGATAATGAGGATAGAATTAATAGCTGATGTTTGCAGAGCACAATGTACACAATGTATACAATACACATCACTATACATCAGGTACTTAATAAATGTTAGTTGAGTTTGTGTTTTTCAAAGTAAGTTGGTATCTCTTTTCCCATTTAAGCCAGTCTTGTAAAGTAAAAAGGTGAAGTTAAAAAAAAATATTAACTCCACTTTACAGATGAAGAAACTGAGGTCCAGAAGGATAAAATTAATATTAGAGAGGGGAGTAGAAGCTGTCTTTGATAGATAATAGAGTACTCTTAAATATTTAAAAGTCAACTATTTTGTATTTTAGTAACTTACAAGCATGTGAATGCTGAGAGAAAATAGCGAAAGAGGGACTAGAATTGAGAATGCTTCCTGAAAAAGGTGTTAAGACCAGACTAGATGGAAGTAATGTGAATGAATCTAATAGAGCACAAGAGAAAAGCCATTTTATTTAGAATGAATGCCTTGATCACAGAGCCAAGAATGGAACAAGAACTGGAACTAAAGTCAGTGCCCATCAATTACAGAATGGCTGAATAAGTTGTAATACATGAATGTAATAGGTTGCTATTTCATTATTAGAAATGACCAATATATCAAAGAAAATGAACAAACGCTTCTCAAAAGAAGCATTACCAGCTAATAATCATAGGAAAGATTGCTCCAAATCCTTAAAATATGAGAAGTGCAAATCGAAACAACCCTGAGGTTTCACCTTATACCTAGCAAATTGACAAAGAAGAAAAAAGATGGGAAGAGTAAATGTTGGAAAGATTGTGAGAAAACTGGCACACCAGTGAATTGCTGATGGAACTGGGAATCACTACAATCATTCTGAAGAGCAATTTAGAATTATGTAAATAAAGTGACTAAAATATCAATAACCTTTGAGGAGAATATTCCAAGAAGATCAATGATAACAGAAGAAAACCCCCATATATACCAAAGTATTTATAGCAATACTTTTTGGTAGCAAAGAACTAGAAACAAAGTAACTGTCCATTGATTAGGAGATGACTAAACAAATTGTAGTGCATGAATGTAATTGAATATTACTATATAGTATGAAATTACAAATATACTAAATACAGGAAAGAATGGGAAAACTTCTATGAACTGATGCAGATTGAAGTATGCACAGGAAGGAAAGAAAACAATATACACAGTGTCTATAACAGTAAAAATGAACAGACTAACAACAGGGCAGCTAGGTGGCACTATGATATGCTGGGCCTAGAGTCAGTAAGACCTGAGTTCAAATCAGGCCTCAGACACGTACTGGTTGTGTGAACCTAGGCAAGTCACTTAACCAACTGTTTGCCTCAGTTTCCTCATGAGATGGAAAAGGAAATGGCAAACCACTCTAGTATCTCTGCCAAGAAAACTCCAAAAGAGGTCATGAAGAGATGGACACAACTAAAATGACTGAACAACAAGGCCAACCACAAAATAATCAAAAGTGACCATTGCAAAATTACAAAGAATGAGCATGGCCCCCAAAAACAGATATAATAAGACACTATGACCTCACTGTTTACAGAAGTGGGAGGTCCACGGATGTGGTGCATTGAGTACATTTTCGTATTCTTCAATTGATTGTATTGATGACTGATTGTGTTTCTTCCTCTTTTTCTTTTATCTTTCTTTTAAAATGTAGTATTTGTCATATTAGATGGCTCTCTGGAGAGGATATGTGATACTGGGGAAAATTTTAGTACGTAAAAATAAAAGAATTAACACAAAATGTATTTTTTAAGTTACATCAACAATGTAATGCTGAAAGGAAAAAAGAAGAATAACGGTACCTATGTCTTATAGTTGTGAGAATAAAATGAGTTAATATTTATAAAGCATTTAGTACAGTACCTGGCACTTCGTAGGCACTTAATAAACAAACACTTGTTCCCTTCCTCTACTTGTCCAAGGGGACCCTCTAGAAAAATTTCTCTCTGGTCTATAGGCCAGTATAATCCTGATCAATTCCAAGTGCTTTGTAAACATTACAAAAAGTAATCATTTTTATCATATATATTTTACACTAAGATGAGCCTATTCAACCAAAAGATATGGAACTTCAAGAATGATTAATAAAGAGGTAGTAAGTATTTAATAATAGGGATGAGGTTGAGGCCACTTTATACACAAGTTAATTTATTCTTAAGAATCCACTGGTTCTTACATTATCTTACATTATTACCTTACATTAATATAAGATTACTAGTGCTGGTCATGGGGGGAAAATAGCTGAAAAGTTTCCCAAAACACTAATGAACATAATCATATCTGCATGGTCTGCTGAAACAGAGAAGGTCCTATAGGGAAATTAAGTTAGTAATAATATCATTATGAACACATTTTAATAATAGGTTTTACCTACACCAAATCATTTATATGTTATTAGCTATGATTACTGCTTGTTTCTTCTTTGCTAATTCCGGCAAGTTGAAATTTTATATGTGATTAAGTAAAAGGCTAAGATGTTCTGAATTTTTTGGTGACTTTTTAAAGATTTACCCTTAAGTATTAGAAGCAGCTAGATGGCTCAGTGGATAGACCACTGGGCCTGGAGTCAGAAAGACCTGAGTCCAAATTTGGTCTCACACACTTACTATGTGTGTGACCTTGGGCAAGTCATTTAACCTCTAATTTGCCTTAATCCAGTAAAGAAGGAAATGGCAAGCCACTTCATTATCTTTGCCAAGAAAACCCCCTGGACACTATGGTCCATGGAGTCACCAAGAGTCAGACACAACTGAACAACAGCATCAATTTACAATTCCATAATGTAGACAAAATTAAAATCATAGAATTGAAAGACACCATAGAGGTTATCTAGTCCAACCTTCCACTGACAAATGTGCTTAACTACTTACCACTTTAAAGTAGAATTAAACATTCTATTTAAAAAAGTAATTAAAGATAGGAATAAACATGGCAAGCATTTAAATATAACTTCAATCTCCACAGATGAAGCAAAAGAACCTCTGATTATCTTTGATAGTAATACAATCCAGTTTTTGGAGATGGGGTTAGAAGAGAAAAAAAAAAAGGAAAATCCATAGATGTCTCTTCTCCAGTTTCAACATCTCTTAACAAGCTTGAAACAAAAGATGGAAAGTTCAATTACAGTTGTTAAAAGAAAATACTTCTGCATACTGGTTTAATCATTTAGTTTGTGGATTATATATGGACTAGCTTCTTCTTTCTTTTACAGGCAGCTAGATAGTTCAGTGAATAAAGTGATGGTCCCCTGGTCAAAAAGACCTGAATTCAAATCTGGCTTCTGACACTTACTTACTAACTGGGCTAATTACTTAACCTCTGACAGCCTCAGTTTCCATATATAAAAAGTGAGGATAACACTAGCACCTACTTCCTGGGTTGTGAGAATAAAATGAAATAGTATTTTGTAAAGTGCTTCTCAAACCTCAAGTTAATCAAATATAATAATTAACTGATTAACAAAAGGTAGAGGTAGGGATTGGTAGAGGACAGTAGAAATAAGAATAGCTAACATTTTCACGGTGCTTTAAGGTTTACAAAACACTTAACAAATATTATCTCATTTGATCCTGATAACAACCATCAGAGGTAGATGCCATTATTATCCCCATTTTACAAATTTGGAAACTGAGGCAAATGGAGGTTAAATGGCCTAGAGTCACATAGCTAATATGTAGCTGAGGATGGATTTAAATTCCAGTTTTCTTGACTCTAAGCCTAATGTTCTATCCATTGTGCTATCTAGGTGCCTAAAATGAATGTTTTAGATAATCTTTGGATGCTATTTACCCAAGAACAGAGTTAAATAAAAGTTTGGTGTCCCAAGTTTCCTGCATATGGAGATAGCTTACCTCATCCACATTTTCAAAGGCATTGATGATGTCATAAGGTAAACAAGACAGCAGATCTATCACAAACCAAGTTTTTAGATAGTTCATCCTTATGAGCTTGGGGTCAGAAATGACCTCTCCACCAGGACCAACAAAAGTCGTGTGGAAATTTAAAACAATGTCTACAAGAAAAATAACATCCACCACGCTGTCCAGCACCAGCCAGGCTATGTTGTTTTGTTTTGTTTTGAAGGAAACGTTGTAAGGAACCATAATGGCGGTGTAGAAAGTAAGAATTAAAATCACCCAATCCCAGGTTGTTTTAAAAGCACAATAGTGTAAAATAATGTGTGGTGGAGTCTTTGGAGCTTCTTGTTTATACTGAGGAAGAATATCTGATCCCAGCTGAAGAACCTAAAAGGAGAGAAAATATATTATCCATATGAACATTGAACTGAAGTCTAATGAATCCATACAAAGTATCTTCCTAGCAATCCAGCAACTATTGGATAATAACCACAATATAATTGGCCACTACCACATGAAAGAAAAGCACATTGTATTTAATGACCTGTATTTAAGAGGAAAGGTAATTTTCAGAAGTAAGTATATTACTTAACTCTTCAGATTTGAAGATAGTGCTGGTTATTTGTATAAGTATAGCTGCAAAGTGAATATGATGTACTTTCCTCAGCATAGAAACTTAGAATGTGGTTGTTATGGCCATTTCCTTCCCCTCTACTCCCTCCCAAAAAAAGTCTCTGTTAATGGATCTGACTCTTCAATTCATGCATCAGACCAAGATTTTGCTCAGATTGATCCACTCTAACCTTGCTTGCTTGCTGCACAATAAAACTGATTCGCCATCTTGCTTGTGTTTTCTAACAGTCATAGCTATCCAATCTATGTGAAGATTTGGCTTCAGAGAGTGCTGGAAACATTTCCTTTGCAAGTCCTGCTAGTGGTCAAGCTATCTCCATTTGACAAACAATAACTGTCATCCCTCTCTCATCTATGTCTAGCACCTCAGACAGCAGTGCTACACCTTCAATGGCCCAGGCTGTACCCCAGGATCTCAATGGTAGTGATCTTGTATTTTCATTTCTTAGTGACTAAGTCAGAGGGAACTACCAAAACTGCTTCTGAAGTAAAGTGGACAAAATATTATAGGCAGCTTTATTTTTTTCTCCCCTAAATCAAGGGCCTACATAATCAGGTCTCTTATCCATCACACTGCTGTTCTATCAATATAACTTGTTCAGTACAAAATATTAAAATTGCCTACATTTCCATGTCTGTTTACCATTTGTTATTTAAGCCAATGTATTAAATGGCTATAGGTGCAGAAAGAAATCAGAATTACTAAATGAGTGACTATATTAGTTTTTCTAGAGGTAGTATCAAATCACCTCCTACCCCAATCTCATACTGTAAATTCTTTTAGATAAGCTACTATGTCTTATATTTCTCTGTATTCTAGTTCCTAGTATGCTGTCTCAATTCAATACATGAATATCCTTGAGGACAGGGGCTGTTTCATATTTTGTCTTTGTCTCCCTAGAGCCTAGCACTAGGTGGATATTTAATAACTACTTGTTGAATTTAATTTAATTGAAATGACTGTGGCTGATGATATTGGTGATTCCATAGAGCAGACATCCTTTCACTCTTAAAAATTATCAAGGAGTTCAAAGAGTTTTTGCTTAAATAGGTTATATCTATCAATATTTTCTATGCTAGAAAATAAAACTGACAGTTTTAAAAAATATTTATATATTAATTCACTTTGAAATAATATTAACAAACCCCTAATATGTTGATATAAATAATATTTTAAAGTTGTATTTTCAAAAATAATATGAAGGAATATAAATAATAATAGTAGTAGCATTATTACGTAGTTCTGAAAATTTCTTTAATGTTTGGCTTAATCAACAGCTGGATCTTCCTATCTGCTTCTGTATTTAGTATGTAGGGATACATTGTTTTAGTTGAAGTATATAAAGAAAATTTAGCACACAGATATATGGTTGAAAAAGAGTGGAATGTTATTATGAAAATAATTTTGAATTTGTAGACCCCTCCCTGAAAAGATCTTGACAATTCCCAGAGGTTCATGGGCCACATTATGAGAACCACTGATGATCTACTCTCATAGAACTTCTCAATTGGTTCAATCTTTGATTCATTTCACACAGAGAAGCTCACATGAATTTTGATTATATTCTTGAAAGCATTAGCTCTTCTCTTTCATTAGATTTTAGTTGCACCATGAACAAAATAACCTCATTTTTTTAATTCTCATAAGAAGCATTGACTAATAAATATTTGTACTCATAGATATAATACTTCCATTCTTAGAAGATCTAAAAGTTGTTACTCTGAAGGAGCCAGAACCAAAGAATTTTTAAGTTGATGTGTCAATCTCAACCCAATCAAAGGTTAAACATTGAAGGCAGACATAGATTCACATGAAAAACTAAAAAGCTATTAATAAAGAGATTCTAATCCTTAAAATTAACAACTGGCTCAGAAATTTGGGCACATATGGCTTTAAATACAAAAATGCATGTTTAGCTTTCAGAAAAAAGCAACAGATAGCAATTGTATGGCACATCTAATACCCTTAGCTGGTCAAAACTTGCCATAGCAACTATTTAGGCACATTTTAAAATACAACTGGGTAATATCATGAGAATTGCTGTAATCTAACACAAGTATTATTTCACTACACTAATGCAACCATAAAAATATTGTAGGGTTTTTTATGTTATGTTACACTATAAACTTACATTCTGTAACATTATATGTTTTCAAAAAATAGTTTCATATCTGAAATTTGCACCATTCTGTTATATCTTATGTTTGGACATGCCAACAACACACAATTCTCTAACTCCAACAATTCTAGAGAATTGAAGTTTTCCTGATGTCAACACAAATGGGGGAGAAATGCTAACAGATTTAAGGCCAATGTTTTATGTGAAAATGCATAAAAATGAAAGATATTTCCAAATGCATTAAATGTTGCCATGAGTTTTTAACTCTAAATTCTATACAAAGGCTCCCAGGTTTAGAGTGATTAGGAATGATATTTTTAATTAAGCAAAATCAAGTATTTATCAAGTGTCTACTATGGGCTTTATACTACTTCTGATAGCTAAATTGAAAAAAAAAAGGAGGACATCTTTTATAACAGATGATGGAAAAGGAAATATGGAATACATGAGTTTTTCCTGCCTCATTTCTCCTTGGTCAAAGGAAATTTCCCACCTGAGCATGTATAATTCATAGTAGAAGTGATTTGCTATTTCAAGAGCAGTAGGGGATAAAAGTAATTTCTTGTCAAGAAAACATACTCTTCTGGCAAGGGGAAAAAAACATTAGCATATTAGCCGTATTTGGAAAACAGTGCCTTTTGAAGACAGTCTCTCCCCCTTCAATTCTTGCTGGGTTGGGAGCTCCAAGTTCATATGACACACTTACTTCAGCTAATCTTGAATGTTTGTGGACCACCTCTGTTTTGTTCATTGGAGTAAGCTGCTGCAAAACACTTCGGCTATTTGTCAAAGCCCGGGTCAATCGGGCAAACTTTGTCCAACCTTAAAAACGGGAGGAAATAAAATCTCAGTGCCTTACAGAATAGTAATTATAAACTTATTTTTGGCTCTCAGTGGCCATAAATAACCAAATCTGGCTACAAATGTTTTCTAATGTAAACATAAGAAATTTTATTATACTCACAAGGTCTGCCTTATAATATAAGGAAAGTCAGTGAATTGTATGGATTTAGAGGAGCTAGATTTGCTTCCTGGCTCTGTTACTTACCTGTGTGACCATGAGGAAGTCCCTTCACCTCTCTGGGTCTCATTTTGCTAATCTGCAAAATGAGGGGATTTGACTAAGTGATCTCTAACGTCCCTGCTACCGCTAGAATCTTTGAACAGTTTGTAATGTGTATAAGTGAGAGAAGAGAGAGTGGGTAAATCTAAGGAGAAAAAAAAATCTGAAACCTTTGGTTATATCCTTTAATTTCATTATCATGCTTGTCAGCTTTTCAGATAAACTAAAAATATGTAAAAAGACCGAACAGGACACTACCCCTGTTTTCTAATTTATTACCACTTTTCTCCACCTTCACCTTAATGAAGTATCAGTAAGTCAAACTAGGTCCTTCCTAGTCCTGCTTTTCTTTATCAATGCTCTCTGTCCCTCCCAAGGAAAGAAAATTGGTTGTATGAAGAAGAAACCCAGTCTTCTTGATTGTTGTACATTCTTTTTGCCCCTTTGGTCTGGCTAATTCATGGTATAATCACCTTGTGCCAAGGTCTATTCCAACATCATATGTGACCAAAGAAGGGCAGCATGGAATAGTAAATAGTGAGCTGACTTTGCAGACACAAAGACCTTGTTTCAAATCTTGCCTGTGTGATCATGGGCAAGTAATTTAATCTTAGAGACAAGACAACTATTTAAGATTATCATTTGCAGCTGAGTTGCTGATCTACATTGGCTAAGGAAGTTTCCATACCAGTAGTTCCTTATACCAATGAAACCATAGAGCTATGTTCCCTAGAGGAAAAAGAAAGAAAGAAAAAGAAAACATGAACCAGAGCTAAAATAAAGACTTAAATTAATGTCTTTTATGTTTAATTTGTGCTGGGGAAGGGAAGGGAAAGGAAAAGAAACAGAGGAAAGGGAAGAGAAGGGAAGGGAAGGGATTTCATAGCATAGCAGTTCATGTGTATGCTAAAGTTGCTGCACCTTTTGTTGATTAATTATTAAGATTGGTTTGGATTACAAATATCCTCTCTCTCTTAAAAAGAAAACCACTTAATCGACTAAGAATAGAATCCATTTTGCTCTTTAAATTTAGCTCCCTTCTTAGTCTCATTCAGTAATTTGGCAAGCTAGATTGCCCATGCTTGGCTAGCAAATTGACTCATTCTGTTATCTTACTCTAGGTAAGTAGTAGAAAGTGGGGTCCATTATCTTTAGATCATGAAATTTCCATGTTTTCATGTAGTGCTGTAACATGGAATATTGGAGAAGAGTATTATTGTTTTCTAGAATGATCATTAGGTCTGGACTATTATATATAAACATTTATGTGTGTATATATATATATAAAACAAGTTTGTGTATGTATATATATATATATGCACATACATATAATAACACAGGTAATAAAAGTAGCTGGTGTGTAGAAAGATTTAAAGTGTGTAGCTACAGTCTATTACCTGAATTGATACTTACAATCACTCTGATAATCTATGGACAACGGTAATAATTGCTGGTATTTACATTGTAGTTTGTATATGTTAGTTCATTTGAACTTCACAATAATCCTATGAAATAGGTGTGATAGACATCCTTGCTTTAGAGCTGATGAAATAGTGGTTCAGAGAGCTTAAATAAATTGTCTATAATCCCACAGTTGATAAGTACCAAAGGTAAGATTTGAACCCAGATCTTTCTGCTCTCTCTTGGTTCTCCTATCTGACTGCTTCTTCTAGGTCTGTTTTGGTGAATCATTATCCAGATGATGGCTCCCTAATTATGGATGTACCCCAAATTTCTTTCCTAGAGCCTTCTCTCTCTTATCTCTCTTTTTCTCTTCACTCTCCTAGTAATCTAATCCTTTCCCATGAATTTAATTATTCTCCATTTGTCTCTGTGCAGAAGACTCTCAGATCTATATAACCAGTTCTAGTTTCTCTCTTACTAGGGCAACTAAGTAGCACAGTGGATAGAGCACCAGGCCTGGAGTCAGCAAGACTCATCTTCCTGAGTTCAAATCTAAACTTAGACACTTCCTAGCTGTGTGACCCTGAGCAAGTTTCTTAACCCTGTTTGACTCAGTTTATTATCTGTAAAATGAGCTGGAGAAGGAAATGGCAAATGATTCTAGTATCTTTACCAAGAAAATCCCAAATGGGGTCACAAAGAGTCAGACACAACTGAACAATAACAACAGTCTCTCTCTCCAGAGTTCTAGTCATGTATCAACTGCCTATCAGAAATTTTCAAATGGATGGCTTAAATGCATATCACAATCAACACATCCAAAATAGAATTCCTTATCTTTCCCCCAAAACCCACCCTGATTTTGAAATTTCCTATTTCTCCCAATGGCATCACCATCCTTCCAGTCACTTAGATTTGCAATCTTGAAGTCATCCTTGACTCTTCACTCTCCTGATTCCTTACCAACCCACATATCCAAACAGATGTCAAGTTTTATCAATTCTACTTCCCAACACTTCTCAAATCCATATACCATATCCCTACTCACACAACTTTGATGCTAGTTCAGGCTCACATCACTTCCTGCCTGGAGTATTACAATAGCTTCCTACTTGCTCACCGTGTTGTGTTCACTTCACTAGCTGGCAGATAGTAGATAGAATGTGGACTTAAGAGTCAGGAAAACCTGAGTTCAAATCCGGCCTCATATACATATTCATTGTGTAACCATTACTTTTACTATCCTATTCTTCAGTCCATCCTCCATATAGCTGCCAAAATAGTATTTCTAAAGAATAGGTTTCACCATATTACTCCCTTGTTCAAGTGACTACAGCATCTCCCTATTACCTCTAAGACCAAATAGGAACTCCAGTCTGGCATTTACCTAGCTCCAACCTACATTTCCAGTCTTATTGTACATTCACCTTCTGTGTTCTAACCTAAATGATCCTTTTTGCTCTTTCTCATACATGTCACTCCACCTACAATTTCTGTGTCTTTATATAATCTCTCTCCAATGCCTGGGATACACTCCCTCCTCACCTTTTCCTTTCAGTCTAGTTTCCTTCAAAACTTAGCTCAAGTACCACCTTCTGCATGAGGCCTTTTAAAACCCCCAGCAACTAGTATCTTCTCCTCCTCAAATTGTCTTGTATTAATCTTGTATATATTTTACATTTTTATGTATACATATTGTCTCCCCTGATAGATTCTAAGTTCCTTGAGAATAGATACTCTTTTATTTTTGTCTTCATATAACCCACTGCTTAGCACAGTGTCTGGAACAAAACAGAACTTAATAAATGCCTATTGGTAGGTAGGTAGCACACTGGAAAGAATGTTAGACTTGGAGTCAAGAAGACCTGAGTTCAAATCCTGCCCCAGACACTTACTTGCATGACCCTGGATAAGTCACCTCTCTTAGCCTCACTTTCTTTATCTGTAAAATGTGAATGATAATAGCACTTACCCCACAGGGTTGTTGTGAAGATCAAATAAGTTAACATATGTAAAATGCTTTGAAAAACTGAAATCAGTACATAAATTCTGGTTGTTGTTGATTCATTGATTGATTGACTCCTGATCCCAATGGCATTTTATCCACTCCCTCTTGAGACTAATAATCACTATAACATGTATTACACAAAGCTATGCGTGACACATCTGTATTTATTTCTATGTAGATGAGGGGGTTTAGTTATATAGAGAGATCACATTATCCTATTTTTTGGCCAAGTGTAATTTCTAGTTGTATTAAAAATCATTAATATGAGGATCAAGGCTCTTGCTAATGTTGTGTGTGACTCTGTGTGTGTGTGTGTGTGTGTGTGTGTGTATGAGGAGAAAGAGAAATAGGGAGACAGAAAAAGAGAGAAGCAGAAACAGAGATAGACAGACAAACAGACAGTGGTTAGAGCATCCCCACTGGAAAAGAAGACAAACTTTCTCCTCTATTTCCCTGGTAGAAAGTTAATTCCTATATAGAAAAGGATTGAAGAAAGTAAACCCCACCCCATACTCCACTGGGACAGTACAACTACTCTGGGCACAGCCTCCCCTATTATAATCGTGATTGTGATTTCTTGTCCTCCCAAGCCTGGATGCAACACAGGTACAAGGAACAGAGAGCCTGAGGATAAGAATGGTGATTATAACCCTATCGGGCAAAACACTTTTTAGCTGGAGTTTACTTTTCATACCAGGAAACCTACTGATTCTTTAAAAAAAACTCTCCAAGACAAAAGTACAAAAATTACTTTGGCTATTTTCTTTATTCTATGGCATGATACAGTTTTTTTTTGGGGGGGGGGATGATTGTTGTTCAGTGTTTGATTATCTTTAAAAAAAAATCATGATTTACATCCCTCCTCCCAAAGAATAATAATTCATGGTCACTCATAACACAGTGCCTGGCACATAGTAGGCTCTTGATTAATGCTTATTGACTGGTTAATAAAAATAAAATCAATTCTGCAAATAGTTCAAGTAAAATGTCTTTTATAATTATTATTTGGATGATCTAGTTTCTTAATATGCGAACCCATGGTTTCTATTCATGTCAGTAGGAGTACCATAAACATAAGACAAGCTGACAGCTGAATTAAGCATATTTAACACTTGGGAATGAAAGGTAAATTAAGAATAATTTAAGCTATTATGACACTGAACAAAAATGATTAACTATTTGATTACTGGTAGTCACTCAAAATTTCATCCTGAAGTCCTAGACCCAATAATGTATTTTATTACATTGATTAAGGGAGAAGGCATAGTAAGTGTTAAGATTAATCTTATCTCTATTCAATTCACCCTATACACAATTGTCTAGTTGACCATCTTAAAACATAGATCT